GGAACAGAATAGAGAGCCCAGAAATGGACCCTCAACTCTACGGTCAACTAATCTTTGACAAAGCAGGAAAGAATGTCCAATGGAAAAAAGAGTCTCTTCAACAAATGGTGTTGGGAAAATTGGACAGCCACATGCAGAAGAATGAAACTGGACCACTTCCTTACACCACACACAAAAATAAAATGGTTGAAAGACCGAAATGTGAGATAGGAGTCCGTCAAAATCCTAAAGGAGAACACAGGCCGCAACCCCTTCGACCTCAGCCACAGCAACTTCTTTCTAGAAATATCGCCAAAGGTAAGGGAAGCAAGGGCAAAAATGAACTACTGGGACATCAAGATAAAAAGCTTTTGCATAGCAAAGGAAACGGAAGACAACTGACAGAATGGGAGAAGATATTTGCAAATGACATATCAGATAATGGGCTAGTATCCAAAATCTACAGAGAACTTATCAAACTCAACACCCAAAGAACAAATGATCCAATCAAGAAATGGGCAGAAGACACGAAGAGATTTGTTTCCAAAGAAGACATCCAATTGGCCAACAGACACATGAAAATTGCTCAACATCGCTCAGCATCAGGAAATCCAAATCAAAACCTAAATGAGATACCACCTCACACCAGTCAGAATGGCTAAAATTAACATGTCAGGAAACGACAGATGTTGGCAGGAATGTGGAGAAAGGGGAACCCTCCTACACTGTTGGTGGGAATGCAAGCTGGTGCAGCCACTCAGGAAAACAGTATGGAGGTTCCTCCAAAAGTTGAAAATAGAGCTACCCTACGACCCAGCAATTGCACTACTGGGTATTTAACCCAAAGATATAAATGTAGGGACCCGAAGGGTATGTGCACCCTGATGTTTATAGCAGCAATGTCCACAATAGCCAAACTGTGGAAAGAGCCGAGATGTCCATCGACAGATGAATGGATAAAGAAGATGTGGTGTATATTTATACAATGGAATATTATGCAGCCATCAAACGGAATGAAATTTTGCCATTTGCAATGACGTGGATAGAACTGGAGGGTATTATGCTGAGTGAAATTAGTGAATCAGAGAAAGACATGTATCATAGGACCTCACTGATATGAGGAATTCT